TAAAGGGTTAAATTTATAAAAAAAATATACCAAATAATAGGTAAAGACATCAAATATCTATATAAAATTTTCATTTTTGAAAAAGTTATGGTAGTGTTAAGAAAAAAATGTCAAAAATTACTGATTTTTAAAATTGTAATTATTTTGGAGATATCTCCCACTTATGAGGAATGAAGGAAAATTCTTCAATTTTTGAGTGTAACGTCTTCGACTAGATACGATTTGTGATCTTTTGACGTATCGTTGAAAGAAATCGGTTCGGTAAGAGCTGAAAAAAACAAGGTAACAGACACACAAAAAATAAATAAATTAAAGAAACACACATCATAGTAAAATTAATACCTTCTCAGCTTTGCATTGAAGATAAAAAATACTGACCACTAAATATTGTAGGTACTGCATCATGACCAGCCGATTTTTTGTAGTCTTTTTCAAAAACATTTTATCGTCAAAATGATCCGCGCAAACTACTAGATTATTTTTTTTTGGATAAAGTCTCTGCCAAATGATTAGTTTGACAATTATTCATCCATAGTTTCAAACGATCATTTTCTTTAGGATAAGAAAAAAAGCTTTTATCCTTGAAGGAATATGTACTTGGACAAAACTTTACTGAGCATCGCATACTGGTGAGGTAGTGAGATATTTTGAAAGAAAGCACCAAATATAACACGAAATAAGATACATGTGATCATTGACAACATTAACAATAATAATTGTTACTGCTCAAGTCAAATTTAAGTAGTTAATAATTTACATTATAAAAACTGATAATTATTTAATTTTCATGACTAATTTAGGGATTTTGAGTCATAAATAAGGGATTATGGGTTTAATACCTTAATTTAATGATGTATTCAAATAATTTATGTCAATAATTATGTTTATATACGGAATTTCATAATATTTATGCTACAGCAGATTTAATAATGAAATAAATTAAAAGAATTTTTGCGCTCATACATATGGTTGCACTGATTTCACTTCTCCAATCAAAAAACCGTTTTGTTATCGGGCCAAGTGAACTATCTGTTTTCATATAGTCTGTGGTTTTGGTTTGTTTACATTCTGAGAATTACACGTTTGCAATAGAAAGTGCATCATTTGGTTTTATCTTATCTGTGATATAACCATGGTATTTGGTATTAAGTAATTGATTACTTAACATTATCAAACAAAACACGTGACTTCAAAATCATATTTATAATATACATTATAAATTTTTATTAAATAATAAATTAATCATTTTTCTGAATGCGGAAGCGTATTAATCAGTTCGTTGAATTTAATCGTATATGTTATTTAGTATTATTCAAAAAATACATTTACTTTTCTTAATTAATTACTGTACTTCATTTTGTACTTAATTTTTTCTCAAGATGCATTTTTATTTTCTTTAATTTTTTGATTTTTTGATTTTTAATAGTTGCTGAAACAATATTGAGGATCAAAAAAGTAAATTTATTGTATTTATATAACTTTTATAATTTAGTAGTAATGGGTCTAGTCGAATAATTAGTATTTAAGACATTCTCATAATCGAAATAATCATTCATAACCTAAACAATCGAACTTAAATTTCACTAATCTGGCTATTATCAATAAAAAAATTTAATCATAAAAACCATAAAACAGAAAATAATAATATCAATAACATTTTAATTATTTAAAATGTATAATGCAACAATATTGTTAACATTTCAACTGTCATAATATAAAAACAAAATAAATAATTTTGATTCAAACCCTGGCCATGTATAGTAATTGGTATATTTGAATGTTTACATATTTCTTTTAGTAATTTTTCCTATATACTCTCATAACAATATTGAATTTCTTGGTGGATTTGTTAATTAATTAGCTACTTCAATGTTTAAATATTTTGTAGATGGTTATAACTAAACCTAAAAAAAAATGTGGCAAAAACATCGATAGAACTACAGGATTGTACAAGATTGCTGCAAAAATACTTCAAAAAGTGAAGACTGGAAATAGTTATAAAACTCTTTTATATAAAGCACAGTATCCAGTAAGAAAATATTAATTAAGTTATAGAAAAAAAAAAAATATATATATATATAATTTTCTTTATTTGATTTATACAGTCTATACAATATTTGTACAATAAGCATAAAAGATGATAATGATTTTTTGACATGATTATTTTAAAAAGAGAAGCTGCCCACTGACAACACTCTTTTTGAAGTGATATTTTAGTAGTTTAACTTGTTAGTGTTACTCTAATAAATAGCCAAGTCTGCACTTGATAGATTAAGTATCAAGCTGGCTTTAACTTTATCATTAACCAAAATGCAAGTTCTTGTTTTATCTGCTTGTTTATGAAACAGTTTAAAATTCCTTAGATTTAGCCATTAATCCATAGTTCCTGAATAAGTGCTATTTGTAAGGGTGTTGTATGCCTCTCAGTTAGGGTCCTTAGTAATACACTACTGTGATGCAGGTTTATTTGCGTGAATTGAATTCTATTGTCAGCCATTCAGAAAACTGATCTTGACACTTGAGAAAGCACACTGTACAGGGTGTGATACAGGTGTCTGAAATAGTCTCTGTATCAGACAATCCTCCCTGTGGGTGGTGTCCCCCCGCCGTCCCCAGATGGCGACCGTTCTTTATGTCCGCTCTCCACATTTCCTTTTGGATCTGTAGAGAGGTTTCCTTCAGCTGTTGCCGTTGTTGGGGATGGCGGTTTCCTGGGTCCCAAACTAACCAAGTTCATGACTGGCTAAGTGCAGTGGTATGTGTTGCCACCCCTGTTGAATTAACTAGTGTCTGCGAGGTTGTTAGGCCCCGCCTAACAACCTCTTGTCGATTCCCCTGCTGGTTAAAAGTGTATTAAATTACATTAAGAAACTCGGATGAACAAAGTGAGAAGAATTAACACACAAATTCCATCACTTTTTCCTATTACCACCAATTATTCTATTTTCGACTTCTTTAATTAACTCCCCAATCACATATAAGTCTTTCTTAAACTTACTTTTTGGTAGTCTGAAATTTTTTTTTTGGTTTTTTACAGTTACCAATTTTAAAATTTGTCATTTCACTGTTTCATCCATTATAATGTATACAATTAATAAAGATTGGCTTATAGTTAAATTTGTTTGAGGGAATTAAAGTAATTTTTAACTGGAAAAAATTATAAAATTAAGTGAACATTTGTATGTATTTACACTATGTCCACTACATAAAAATATTGAGTTATATGATATATTGGAACTGTATGTAGTACTATACTGCACTAAGTAGCAGTTTTTTTTATTATAAATAAAGCCTCAACAACAAAAGCCTACTTTACATAGGTTTCATGTTTTATTTTATATTTACACATTTTCTTATAATTATTAATATTATTTAAATTAAGTTAATAATATTCAGTTTTGACACTGGATCTAGTTGGAAAATTTTCTATTTTGAATATTGCTATTGATTTTTCTGCACTTTGGAAAATATACATTCTACTATCTATCTATTAGAATATGATTCATAGTTTGTAGAAATTTTTAAGTTTGTGTATTATGTAAAAAAAAAAATTGATTTCGTTCTAATAAGTTTGTTTATTCACTAATAAATTATTATTACTTTTAATTTATTGTAGTTATTGACTTAATTAAATTAAATTTTTCATTTTTATATGTTCCAGAATAAATTAACTCTTAATGCTGTCCTCATGAATGTGTTTAAATGGGAAAAAGTTATAGATGTTTTAATAGAGAAAAGTAATATACTAGAAAAAGAAAGGAATTTAGAGAAGGATTTTGCAAGTGTATTAATTACTGAAATGATGTGGTCAAAATTTGGTTTAAAAGGCACTGCAAAAAATATTCTAGCTGTTAAAAAATACAAACATGAGTTTGTTAATCTTATGAAAGAAAATGATTTAGAAAAATTAGTAACTTCAATGCCTCTCAAAAGTATGTAATATACAGTATGTTTCAGATCTAACTGACAACGCTTATAACATTTGATATAATTATCATTTCGTTGAAATTTTTCTTTTTAATAATTATTGCCTTCTTAGCAAACGTTTAAAGCATATTTTTAATATTGATCACTTATAAAAAAAAATATATATACATTTTTTAGTGTTCATGGTATACTTTATGTACACAACATATTCACTGGTATCTACTGCATTCATCCTCACTACATACACACTCTATGTATTAAAATTCTTGAAATTTAATGAATACTAGTTCTAAAATTGTTATCAAATGATCAACATTTTTTTGAATTAAAAAATAGCAATTTCAAAATTTTGAAAATAAATAAATTTTTTTCTTATAAATGACAAATAATAAAAATATGCTTTAAACATTGTCTAATAGGCAATATATTTTTTTTTTAATTTCTATAAAATTATAATTGTATCAATAGTTAAGTATTTATAAGTGCTGTAGTAAAGACACCTTTTATATATTTATAAAATAATTTATAATACAAAAAATGATATGTCTCTTCTAGCATGGAAACCTCGATATTTTCGCATCAACACTTTATTAACCACATTAGAAGATGTTTTAAAAAAGTTAACTGTAAATAAATTTAAAAAATTAAAGACACCATCAAATTATAATGATTTTTTAGAATTGTTAAAATCTAAAAAGTTTACAAAAAACTGTTTTATGCAAGACATACATATTAAAGAATTATTAGTTTTTAATCCAAAAGTAAAATTTTACAAGTTAGAAGAGTACAAAAATGGAAATCTGATTGTGCAAGATAAGGTAAAAATATCAAGTTATACTAATGTATTACTAAGACCTAGATATTTAATCAAATGCATATTTTTCTATAACTAAGGTAAAATAATTTTGATTAAAAATCTTGGTGTTTCAAAATTGTAGATTTTAAATATATATATGTGGGTACCATTGGTGTCTAGATGGCACCACTTCAAGGGTCTGGAGGAAGATAGTAATAGTGACTTTATTCAAAAATCTTTAAAAATGGTTGCTTTTGAAAATCTTAGTCCAAACATTTTGAAGTGAAAATAAGAACAACTATTCTATTCTAGTAGAAACTAGTAAAACTTTGTGGTACTTTTGCATACTTAAAATAAGCTGATAAAGAATAATGTTATCTCAGTTATGAAATTTTTGGAGTTCAGTAATTATTGTTCTCAGAAGGAGATATAATAACTGTATGAAATAAGCAAAATATATGAATAAAATTAATTTATTGTCATTCTAATTCGTAAAATTCATATTTCAAAAATACCAATTTTTCAGAAGAAACTAAAAATGTTTTAAGGTTTGGATTTTGGTCGATTTTATTATAATTCTATCGGTGATTTCATGGAAAAATAAATTGCTGTATTTGAGTTTGTGTAATTTTAAATAATGCATTATAATTTTTGGATTTTTATGAATTACACTTTGGTTATTTCAGTTTCAATATTTATAAAAAACTGTATTTTGAATTTAATTGTACAAATAATTAGATAGAGTAAAATTATTTCAGGCTAGTTGTTTGGCAGCAACTCTTTTAAATCCAATACCTGGAAGTACAGTACTTGATATGTGTGCCGCTCCTGGAATGAAAACATCTCATCTTGCTGCAATTATGCATAACAAAGGGTAAATTCTATTAATGACTGTTTTGTAAATATGAATAATTTTTTTTATTATACAGGCATAAGTTTTTTAACATAATTGCCAAATGAAGTCAATATTGTATTGAATTACCACAAAATCATGAAAAATTTGATATTTTACAGGTCATAACTGATAACCCAGAACAATACACCAATAGTCCTTATTGGTACACTAAATATTAATGTTACTGTATTTACCAGACTACTGTTTTATTTGTTAAATCCCCTGAACTTTAAATATTGATATTTTGTTTATAATTTCTTAAAATTGGTTTTTTCTTTTTTATGCTAAACAAGATTAATAACAAAAAAAAAAAAAACTGGGTCGCTATTTGAAATACTAAAGTTAATATTGATTTAAGGGTTAAAGTATGATAATGGAATCTTTATTTTACTTGTCAAGTAGTTCAACAAAGATTTATAACAAATAAAATAATTACATATATGGTAACACCAATATCTTTAAAGAAAATTCGTAATTCGTACGATCAGTATGTGTTTAATGCTCTTAATGATAACATTATATATATATATATAAATATTTAAAATTATATATATAATATAATTTGATGTATCATTAAAAAAAATACAAAATCGAAAATTTTAACACAAAATTAACATATGGTAGCTTTTTTCACCATGAAGACAAAATAAAGTACATTTTTTTTTTATATAATAAAGTATATTACATAAGCTTTAATTTAAGATATATATAAAAGTTCCAATATTTCCGGAACACTGTCAAAAGTTAAGTTGAGAAAGTTAATTTTTTGTGAGAAAGTTGTCATTTTGAATCCCCCCTATGAGCTCATGTATCATTAAAAAATAATTATATTGATTTGTTCAATTTTGGAAAAGTTATGGCACTTTTAAGTAAAAAAAACTGAAATAATGTCAACATTTTAGTGTTTTGTAAACTTTTTGTAAATTTATTCAATTTTTTAGGATAATGTCTTTGACTAGATACGATTTGTGATAATTTGACGTATCGTCGAACGAAATCAGTTCAGTGAGAGCTAAGAAAGAGTGGTAACAGACACCAAAAAAAAAAAAATATCACAGTAAAATTAATACCTTCTCAGTTTGGCATCGAAACTAAAAGTTATGGAATTATAAAGTTAAAAATATAAAAAAAATTTTTTTTATAAATATTGTATTTTTTTTAGCAATTCTGATATCCGTTTTTACCATGAAAATAAAATTAAGTCCGAAATTTTAACTTCGATGCGAAGCTGAGAAGATATTAATTTTACCATGATATGCTTATTTTTTTTTGTGTGTCATTATTTTTTCACCGATCTCACCGAACCTATTTTTCTCAACAATAAATCAAAACATCACAAATTGTATCTAGTTGAAGAAATTATCCTCCAAAATTAAAAATTATGCCCTCGTTCCCTGTAAAATCCTACAAAAAATTACCATTTTTAAAATCTGTAAATTTCGACATTTTTCTTTTTTTTTTTTTAAAAAATTGCCATAACTTATTGAAACATGAACAAAACCAAATAATTCTTTTTTATATTGAAACCTTAGATATTTTCCTTACATTTGATATAAATTTTTTAAAAATCTGGTCCTTTACCTGTCCACAGGAGATTCAAAATTGCAGCTTAAGTTTTGCAAATTTTCCTTTATATACCCCCCTTATATAAATGGAAAATTTAGATTTCTTTGAGTATACAAAAGAAAATCGCAACACACTTGCATTTCAAGTATCCGGTGAACAGGCCAAAGAAATGGGCTGTTAATAAAAATACAAGTAAATAGTAAAACTTTTTCAACTTAACTTTTGAAAATGTTCTGGAAACACTCCGAGCTGTTCAAACATATGTAAAAAGATAATTTTATGCACTATAAGGTCAAAAAAACAAATTTGTCCCGACGACTTCTATGTGCAAATGGTTTCCGTAATTAAAAAACATGCTATTTTTGTGTTAAAATTCTTGGTATTGTATTTTAATTTATTTTAAAATACCTTTTATGGAGGGGGTACACTGATTTTCATAAATATATAAATCTCTCTCTATGGTTTCAATTCGTGGATTGGTTTGCAGCCATCTTCCATTCTTCTCTATTATCTATTATTTAAATCTAATTGACATAAAATATAATTTGATCAAAAAAACGAATGTGACGAATGTTTGCTGATTCAGTAAAAATCATTGCCTATGATTTTTTTACAATTTTCCGTAATTATTTTTGAGTTAGAATTTTGCTTTTCAATAATCCACCAATTTATTAAAATTAAACACTACAGATTTTCATCGAAGCATTTCTTATGATAGTGATTTTAATCATTGTTAGATATCATCTATACTAATCCCAACCATGCCACGCTCACACTGTGCTACAGTTTTTTTTTTCATATTAAAGTATATTACATAAGCTTTAATTAATGGTATATATAAAAGTGTCAGTATTTCCGGAACATTTTCAAAAATTGAGTTGAATAAGTACTACTTTCAATATGCATTTTTAAGTTTTGATCATCCCCCCTTTGTATAAAAGTTATTACCTATCGCAAAACTTTTTTAAAATCAAAATAATCTATTATTAAGAAGCAAAGTAATTCCAAGCATTTAAAAGTAAGCATTTTAAAAGAAATATTTTATTGAAATAATTTTGTATTTTAGTACTNCCCCCCTTTGTATAAAAGTTATTACCTATCGCAAAACTTTTTTAAAATCAAAATAATCTATTATGAAGAAGCAAAGTAATTCCAAGCATTTAAAAGTAAGCATTTTAAAAGAAATATTTTATTGAAATAATTTTGTATTTTAGTACTTTGTATGCTGTTGATCGCTGTAAAGAAAGGTTTATTGTNCTTTGTATGCTGTTGATCGCTGTAAAGAAAGGTTTATTGTTATGCAAAAAATGTTAGAAAAATATGGTGTAACTAACGCTGAGACATTTAATATGGATGCATTGACATTCCCCTATTTTGATAATGTAAAATATATATTAGTGGATCCATCATGTTCAGGATCTGGTAAATAAATATTTTAATTTAATATTGGTTATCATAAAATCAAATTTTAATATTTTTCACTATTTTTTTGTTCAATAATTATAATTAATCATAATTTAATAATAATAACTCTGTCTTTCATTAGGTTTATATTATCATATTTATTTATTATTACAAAATATATTGCCATTTTGAGCCCATAAAATAATAAAAAAAAAATCAATAAATTAATTGTAAAATATTTATTGGGTTAACTTATAACATTTATAGGAGTTGTTATTTAATTAAAATAAACATAATTTTTAATGATATATTCATTCAGTAGCGTATTTAAAAATCCTTATATCACACACGCTAATAATAATTCTTTGCTTAAAATTTCCATCCAAATTAAGTTATAAAATAAAAATTATATTTTTAATTGTGTTTTAAAATAATATATATATATTTTTGAGAGAGAAATATATATTTACAATATTGATACACATTTTAATCATTTTTTGAATTAAAATGTTTATTTTTCTTGAAATAATAGAGGTTTAAAAATTTTTAGTTATACAAAAATGGTATTTTATTTTCTTCCGCTTGAATAATTGAAAAAAAACTTAGTCTAATTTGAATGATTTTTTTTATTTTGATTTTAGGTATTGTTGATAGAGTTCGAAATTCTTCTGTGAAAACAGAAAGTAATGAAATTAGATTGAAGAAACTAGCTAATGTACATGCTCAATTGTTAAATCATGCATTTAAAAACTATCCTAACTTAGAACAACTTGTTTATTCTACGTGTTCTTCTAATCCAGAGGAAAATGAGGCTGTTGTTGATGAAGTAGTGTCTGTAAATAAAGATTTTGAGCTTTTAGATTGTACTAAAATGGTAGAAGGGTGGAAAAATAAAGGCGCTTCAGGTTATGCATGTTCCGACAAGTGTTTAAATGCTGTACCAAATGCAGATTTTACTAATGGATTTTTCATTGCTGTTTTTAGACGTAAAGATTTAGAGATAAAAGAACAAGGTATCACAGATAAATTACATTCTAAAAAATGTGATTTAAAGGAATCTTTGTTAATTAAAGATTCTATTAATGTACTTAAAAAAAGTAAGAATGCTAAAAAAAAGGAAAAAAGATCGCAACAATCATTGTCATATAGTATTTAAAAAAAAAATTTAATGAAGCTTATAGCACTATTTAACTGGAAAATTCTAAAACAAATGTTCATAACCTGAATTTAGCCTCAGTAAACAACATTGTAGTGAATGTAAAATGTCCAAAACTTAAAAAAGTCAAAACTATACGTATACATGCACTAAAAAAAAAGATCAGTCTAAAATTTTTAAATGTTGTTAGTATTAAAAAAAAAAGAAAAATACTTAATAAAAAGATTTATGGTTTCTTTATATTAATTTATAATAGTATAACTTTTATTTATTGTTATAACAATTGTATTAAAAATGTATTAACCAGTATAATTTTTTCATTAGTAATTTTATCAGTCCAACTTATCTTTTCTATCCTACTGTAGCACCACATTTTGAATGCCTATATTCTTCTCATTTTACTCTTGCAATAGTTAATGTTTCGCATCTATATAAAATGATGCTCCTGATGTACGTTTTTAGTATATTCTTTCTAATATTAAGGTCTATGTTTTTTAAAGTAAGAGGTCTTCTTTTCTTATTAAATGCAACTTTAGCTTGGGAAACTTTCTTTATAAATTTCATTTTGCATCTCCCATCTGAGCTTATAGTGCTACCCAAATATATGAATTACTTATCGTCTTTTACAAGAAAAAATCTAAAAAATGGCTATTTTTAAATTTAAATAAACGGTAGCACAGTGGAGTGGTGGCATAGTTGGCAAAAGTAAGGATGATGTCTGACAGTGATTAAAATCACCATCATAAGAAACGCTTTGATGCAAATTTGTAGATAGTGTTTAATTTTAAGAAATTAATGGATTATTCTAAAACCAAGGAGAGAAATATCTTTAATTTATACACTAGTTGTGATCATTTGATGTATTGTTTAAAATATTGGTCAAGTGAAAGCTGAGAAAAATGAATGAAGACACAAAAAAAAGTGTAGTATGAAGTTATACAATCTAAATGAAATAAAAAACAAACGATTTGAATTTTATTTCCAACTAAAAAAATATTAAGAAAAAAAACGGTAGCACAGTGGGGTCGCGGCACAGTATGGAAATGGCATAGTTGGGACAAGTATAAATGATATTTGACAGTGATTAAAATGTGTTTTTTTGTCTTTTTTCAATTAAAAGTAATTATTTGTGTACCTAAAAAATAACTTGAGGTTTAATATTATATTAAAAGTGGAGTGATTTTTTATTTATATATTTTTTTATGTGTCTGTCACTACTTTTTCACTGGACCGATTTTTCTCAACGATACGTGAAAAGATCACAAAATGTATTTAGTTGAAAACATTACCCTCAAAAATTGAAAATTTTGTTCTCGTCCACCGTAAATGATGGAAATTTCCTAAAAATTACGATTTTTAAAATCGGTTAATTTCGACTTTTTTTTCTAAACTTATTGAAATAATTTATTGAAAAATGTACAAACCAAAATAATTTTTTTTATATTGAAACTTTAAGTTATTTTCTATTTATTTGATAAAATATTTTTGAAAATCTGACCCTTTATCTGCCCACAATATGGTATTCAAACTTTTTTACAAAAATCAACTTTTTCAAATTAACATTTGAAAGTGTTCCGGAAATACTGCAACTTTAAAACATATGTCAAATAAAAATTTATGTTACGTACTATTAATAATAAAAAAAATCGTAACACAGTGGGGTCGAGGTACAGTGTAGACGAGGCATAGATGGGACAAGTATAGATGATATCTGACAGTGATTAAAATCACTACCATAAGAAACGCTTCGATGCGAATCTGTAGATAGTGTTTCATTTAGAGAAATTGGTGGATTATTCCAAAAGCAACATCAATTGTTATTTCTTTGATTATGTCCTAATTAGTAGTTCTTTGATTTTAAAATATAATATATGAATAAATACTAATTATAATTATTAAATTTAATATGAAATTGATATTCAATAATTTAATATTGTAATTTAAACGGAGAAATTATAAAAATAATAAAGAAGTTATATTTTGCTTTACTTTTACGTGTATAAAAATTTAAAGGGCTTGATACAATAATTTTCAATAAAAACTGTTTGTTACTATAAAAAAAACCACTGGACTACAAGGAACTTTCATCAGAAGCAAAAATATATTTTTCTAAATCAAATTTTCACGTTGTTTTCAAATCTGCAATTAGACTTTATCTATCAGTTCTAATTTTAGCTTCGATGCGAAGCTGAGAATTTTATATTATTACTAATTACATATAATAAATAATTAAAAGAAAAAAAAATTGTTTTCAAATTATTACTGATTTGATTTTTAATATGTTAAAAATAATCAGTCCAAATTTTCAATTTTAACCTATTTTTTTGGTTCTTTAAAGTTGATGAAAAATTTTTGATAAAGATTTATGAAAGTTTATAGTAAAAAAAATTGAATATATTACTATAACTTTTAGCTCAATTACAAGTTTAAAATTGACATCTAGGCCAGTCAATAAAGGTAAAATTGCGGAAAAAATTCCCAATCAAATTATGTTTTTCTAAAAGTTGAATTAAAATATGTATAATGACATACTAATAGTCCTCGTTGATTGGATTTGAGCTTTTTTTTTTACAGCTTCGCAAAAGTTTAAAAATATTAGCTTTTTTAATTTTTTCAATAAATATTTAAGTTACAAAAAAAAGTTTCGTACAAAAGTTGTTTAAAAGACAATTCTAAACAAACAAATTATGTTATATTTTTTCATTTAAACAAATATTTTTCGAGTTACATTACATTTAATATGAGTACTAAAATTTATATTTTTTTANTTAATATGAGTACTAAAATTTATATTCCATTTTTTTCATTTTACGGTTACTTTTTATCATGTTATACTTACATTAGACACAATGTTATAAATGCATATGTGTGTATGTGTGAGTTTATTTATTTATTGTATCATTAAAGTGTAGTGTATATTAATATACAAGCGATAGAGTAGGTAATTGATTTGACGCTATATTGTTTAAACCCAACTAAACGCTAAATTGTACATTCCCAAACAACAATCATATTATGTTCTGGTAATCTATTTCTTTTTCTTTGCCTTAATCCCAACTACTTGGGGTCGGCCACCCTTATCCTAAGATTCCACTTGACACGATCTCCCACATCTTCTACGCTCACATTAGATGTCCTCATGTCGCATTCAATAACATCCCTCAATCTCTTTTTTGGTCTTCTATCTCTTCTTCCTTCAACATTCATTTCTATAACTATTCTTACAGCTTCCGATTCCTCTCTCCTCATAACATTACTAAATCATCTAAGTCTATTTTCTCTCATCTTATCCACAATTGACACTACACCTATACTCACTCTTATATACTCGTTCTTTATTTTATCTTCTCTAGTCACTCCACTCATCCAACTAAGCATTCTCATCTCTGCTACACTTATTCTCTGCTCTACTTTCTTATCAACCGCCCAACACTATGAACCATACATCATAGCTGGCCTCACAATTTCATACTAAATTTAAAAACTATAATTAGTATTTATTCATATATTATATTTTAAAATCAAAGAACTACTAATCAGGATATAATTAAAGAAATAAGAGTTGATGTTGCTTTTGGAATAATCCACCAATTTCTCTAAATGAAACATTATCTACAGATTTACATTGAAGCGTTTCTTATGATAGTGATTTTAATCACTGTCAGATGTCATCTATACTTGTCCCATCTATGCCTCGTCC